ATCACCAAAATGTTAATTACTCGACGCGTATTCTTGCTGACTATAAGCCTATAGTTTGCGTTAGGCATATTTACCTCATTGTGAATGCCTAGTAATAGCTATTACTACTTCTTCTTCTTATTATTATTTTGGAATCTTACTGCAACGTAGGGCTTCATCACCACACCCTCGTTTCACTCTGTTCTCTGCAGTCGTCTATAGATGGCGCCGCAACTACCCATTGGTTCTCAACTCCACCTCTCACCGCCTCCTTCATATTTGATCTTCAATACTGAGCGGATGTAGCAGTTTAACCTAGTCTGTCGTAAACTCTCGGAAATACTGTTGATGAAGCAAATGCAAATTCTTTGAACTGTAAAGAGGTACTCACTTGTCTTGGTGAAAAAATTTGGATCTTGTTCTCGTTATACTTAGTGTAATAGATTTCTTCAATGAATTCAGAGCAGTGACGGTTTGTCTTACTCTACCGATCCCACCTTTCACATCCCTATCTGTGCCGTCTGTAGTTGAAACAATGCTTAGTGTATTAATTCACTTGTTTTTCTAACCTGTCGTATTCTCGGAAAAAAGGGGTAGGTTGGGTGTCAGCCTATTCCGGAAAATGAATCTAATTGCTGCCGAAACTTCATAGCACAGGAAAATGTGGTCATAATTATTACAATTAACTGAAGAGCATATAAGCCTTTATTTCGCGTATATAAAATGTACAATTCCTTGTCCCAGGTAGATGAAATCTGTTAAACCTAAACCACACCCCCCCACGATTTCTGCTGTCACATACTTCTCTGCCTGAATCTACATCTTAACGGAGACTCTTCTGCAGAATTACTGAGAAATCCCCACCCCCTCTGACTGAAGAAAACCTTCCTCGCAGATAAACTTCCAATAACTTTCTCTATAAAACCAGTGGTTTTCATGAACATGAAGGATAAGCTACTACTGTTGGCCTCATCACTGTACATCTACCGATTCACCTGCTCACGTGGAGCTAGGTATATCGGCCGTACTCAGCGTTTGCTATCCAAACGTATCGGCAAACACTTACCCACAGTCATGGTTTCATAAAGGAGAAATAAAAGTCCCTACTATATCTCTATCGTGGAATAACTTATCTAATCAGGAAACCAAGCTGACTCACAAACCAACTTCGAAGTTATCTATAGAATAAGTGGGGATCTTACTGAGAGAGTAGGAATCAAACTTCTTTAAACCGTAGAAGCAGTAGCAATTCACCTTTTAAATCCTGAACTTTGTATACAAAGAAAGTTTGTTCATTGAATAAACCAAATGCGTGACTTTTGGTCTTTGTTTCTTAATTGTATTATTTTCTTCGCCTAACCTCTGTTAAATTTCTACCCCTTAATACCACCGTTGTGCGTTGGTGGCACAGTGGTTAGGACTCTCACCGACCATGCACATGGTCCGGGGTTCGAGCCCACGCCAACGCACACCTGATATCTATGGTCGGCCTGCGATTTTCGGGCTACCGATATCCATGCTGAAAATTCCATACTTGTACCAAAAATACAGTGTGGAATCAAGCTGTAATCAAAAATATAAAATATATAAACAACCTGACCCTCATTCAATTTTGGTTGTATTCTAATCTGTCCCGTCAATCGCATTACATCACTCAACATGCTTATTTCATTTGATTTTAGTTGCTAGCCGAGTGACACTTTCTACTTCACGTAATTCGTTATCTGAAATTTACAATTCTAATGGCATATCCTTGGAAATATTCCTTTTGTTTTGTTAAGCAAAATTTATTATATATATGCGATCGTACAGCTTGAGAAAGATATCGCCAAAAAGAGTAACTTTTCTTTGAACGCCTTTTCTTTTATATCAGTCAGTGTGAGATTTTCGAGTTGCTTAATTCTATTACATACATTTATTCCCCTTAATGAATTTGAACAAAGCAAGAACAACAGTTTTAGCAGAATAAAATGGACTGCATTATGCGTCAGACAGTGGGAAACGAGAGGACAGGAATATCCTGGACCAACGCGAAAAACCTAGATGACCTGAATTTCGCGCGTGGATGATTGATGTTTGATGTCACACAAAATCGAAGAATTACAAGCGAAAACTGGCTGACAAACTGGTCGAATAAGCAGACGGCGAAGACAAGACTCCAGGTGAACATAGACAAGACGGAGGTTATGAAAATAACCAACCAGCCAACAACAACAACATCCACCGCCAATCACTATCAACAGGAGGGATTTGAAAGAAGTTAGTTACGTCATACACTTATCTAGGGAACATTGTCTCAGCTACAGGAGGAACGGATGAGGATGTCAAGAGAATCGGCAAGGCGAGCGAGTAACACATTCATCAACCTGAGATCAATCTGGAAATCTTCGTCACTCAGCATCAACAACAAAATTAGGTAGGATTTTCAATACAAACATCAAGTCAGTCAGTTATTCTACACGGATCAGAAACTTGGCGGGTCACACAGAATATTTCCAACAGCCCGATGCAGACCTTTATTAATAACTGTCTTCGCTGGATCTATCCTGAAGATCAGATGGCCGGGCCTGAAAGAATCACCAACAAGAAACTATGGGAAGAAACAAAACAGGAACAAACCAATCGCCCAACAGATTTGCAAGAGAAAGTGGAGATGGTTCAGACACTCGCTGAGGAGACCGCTGGGTGACATCGCGCGTCAAGCCCTCGAGTGGAACCCGAGAGGGAAGCGGCGTGTTGGACGTCAGTGCAAGGGTGACATGGAGGAGATCGTGTGAAGAGGAGTTGAAAGAGTATGGACTAACATGGATGCAGGTGAAAAGTACAGCAGAAGACAGAAGTGGCAAATGGAGACGTGCAGTTGAAGCCCTATGTTCCACTAGGAACCCAAAGGAGCAATAATAAATAATAATCTTTCATTTCGTCGCCTTCTCGTATCTTATTTACATGTATCTGCGGGAGCAGTTACATTGGAAGGAAAGAGAGAAGAAAGGCATATCTACGATTTTCTGAACATGAAACCAAAAAGCTTACGTCTAAAGGGAACAAATGCTTGAAACAATGCCATCGCCAGGCATCTTCTCGACACGGGTCATGAGGTGGACGTCGAAAAGTCGTTCAAAATTATCAATAGGCAAAAGAGCTCAATTCTCCTTAAGTTTGCCGAAGCCATTTCCATCAAGCGCCTGAAACTTGATTTATGCGTCCAGAAAGAAGTGGTTATCAGTCTTTCTTTGCCCTGGTAACTGTATATTTTCACCTCTCTTTCTTCTAAATGTGAAATGCTGAAAGTTTCCATTGTTTATGATTATTATTGTTCGGAATACTGTTTAATATTGCATATATATATTGATCGACTGAGTTTTGTTTAAAATGAACTCTCTGCAAGTATGTCAAAATTGTTTCTGTAGATATATTTAATAATGTCTTTGGCCTGTAAGCAGCTGACGAGAAGGCAACGAAATAAAAGATGGTAGCAATTTATTCTGCTAAAACTGTAGTTGTTGCTTTGATCAAATTAATTCTATTAGTTTTTATTTACATTCGTTTTTAAGATATGTGCATTCTATTTGGTGATTGAAGAGTAACACAGCAGTCAGATGTGGTCGGAAATTGTTGTAACAATCTCAAAATTGAATGATAAATAAATTGTGCATTGTTTCTTGGAGTCTTCTGACATTTCTCTAAGTGATATCAATTTGCAATTAACATCACTTGGTGTTTTTATTCCTCTAAGTTCCCATTGGGACATTGGGTTTCAAATTGGAAGCTTCAAGTTGCTGTAGCGGTGGTGTCTATTTTTACGGGATGGCGTTGCTAACCACATGTCCAATCCTATTTCTTTTTCGTGAAGTGAAGAGATGCGTGGTTGGAGAGCATTCTACCTCTGTGCCACCGACCCAGACATCACTTGGTGATAACATCAGGAAACACTACACAATGACGTTGTCATTGTGACAAAGCAATCTAAAAATTGTCTAGAGTGTGGCGATTTCATTGTTCAAGTGTAAGTAATGATAAGAACAATGGATTTCTAATTTAACAGTATTAGAATGGGCACCTTCTTTATTAGCCATGAAGTCATAACTTATGCGTGTACTGCAATGATAACCTGATTGGACAGTTTTGTTTGATTCGTTTATCTATGACCTAAATTCTTAAGAATTCGTAAATATAGGGAACCATATATTTTGTGTAGTAATGGTCGATATTCTTCTCAGTCTGACTTCTTTGTGTATCTTAATGTGGGAGATATTTTTAACTGGTCAGTTGGTTAGGGTTTCGTGTTCTGGAGGCGCCTTCTAATCAAGTTAAACGACACACAATCCGCTATCACTGCGTCCTAACAGATAGAAGTTTCCAGTTAACGTTTTACGGATTGAAGACATTCGTGAAGAATATAGACGATAAGAATGAACACTGCAAAACGTGAAAACCCAACTTTCAAAAGACGGAGCAAAAATTGAAAACAAATCAAATGTTTTTATAATTTCATTATTTAGAAAATACTCCTATAAGAGAAATCAAATATAACTTAATAAATCCTTGTCAGCAATAAAAATTTTTAATCGGAATGGTATAATTGTTATCCATGGCGTAATTTCCATTCAAGCCATAGAGAAACTTCTTTGAAAGTGTAGGCAAACCTTTAGACAAATAATTTCTCACCGTCTCCCACTTAGGCGGTACACATTAAAGGAATAAGCTGTCATTACAAAGAAACCTTGTATAGTTCGAAAGTAAAGTCACAGTAATACATAAACAGAAGAGTATTATAAGAAAACTGATAAGTTGAAATGGTAATTCAATGGGAGACAGTAAGCTTCTGATTCAGAGAGAGAGAGAGAAGAGTTTCATTCGTTACTCTTTTCAATCCAGGAAGGCAAGTTAGTTAGCCGTCTTCCCTTCCTTATCCGATAAACTTTTCTCAAACAAAATAAATCTATTCAGCAATCGATCAGTTGCGGTAATATTACTATCAATAATATCGTTCCTGATTAAGAAACCAGCATACTGAAGATTTAGCTCATTCCATGTATCGAGTAATGAACGAAATTTTCTCCGGCCTTGAATAACTGGAGTGATTTCATCTTTGCCTTCTGTTCGCAGTAGACCTCTCCATGGCATACGTTCTGGCGGGTAGATATTACACCAATCACCACTATATCCAGGCCAACAATGACATTGAATGATGATATGACGTTGTTTACCTTTCCGCATCCAAATTTTTTTACAATCCCCGAACATACAATCAGCTGTACCAGATCTACAGGGTTTTACGATTGTTTCATCTGGTATATATGCAATAGGTACGACGCTGAAATGAGTAGTACAAGAGAAAAAGAATGTCAGTTGAAGAAATTTGATTAGAAATAGTTGAATGCCGGCTAAATGCAACAGCTAAAGTCGATACACAATTACAATACATAGTGAAGCAGAATTTATTTCTAGTTGTGTAATAGAGTATTGTGTTTTTTGCATGAACAGTTCGTGCCGGGGAAAAACGTTTCAGATCAGTGTGCTTTCATGCAGATGCTTTCAAATTTGAGTTTCATCTCAAATGAGGGAAACTGCTGTCAAGTATTTGAGTATATTCGATTAGGTAAGCAACAACTACTACGACTCATATGAACCAGTATGATACGCCGTCATGCAATTTAGCTACTTTGAATATCTTTGAATAGTTCTATTCTTCTGAACTTTCTTGAGCGGTCATCCCATATCTTGTTAACTTCTAAGAAAATGTCCCCCTAACCTACTTCATTAAGAAGTTAAGACAAAATAGAGTCACTTAAATGTGCGTCGAGGGCCACAGCGATATAATACTCATCAATCACACATTTGGTCCAAGGTTCGATTCTCGGCTGATGCACACCTTCACCTCGCTAAGACAATAATAAGACTGGTAAAAGAGTAGGTTGGGTATGAGGCTAGCAACCTCATCCCTTAAAAGTAAACGCCACTGCTACCGAAACTTCAAGCCTCTAGCTTGAAGCCACTCTATGTCCCACTGGGAACATGAAGGAATAAAAAACTGAGTCACTCAACCTCTTTTTTACACTATGTTAACTCTAGCATCATATCTACTGTTCTACATTGCTCCCACGTGGTCTTTCCTGGGATACTCAAAAACGACTATGTCGCACTGAGGAGAAGGGTACTAAAGGTTTTCAATAGGGTAGGTGGTGCGCCATTAAGACAAACATGTGAACTCATGTAAGAAATGGTCTAAATTCACGTTGTGCGGCTCTCAGATGCCAATAAGACTACTTTCGTAAGATTAGTCTTACAGACTGGCGTCTTTTTTGCTGATAATTACAGCATGTAGACGAAAATGAGAATAGTTTGAAGATTGTGTGATAGACCCTAAAATAACATCACGGATCAAGACTTCTTGTGGACTTTCAGTGGGAAACGATTAATTTGGAAGTGTTTCCAAGAGTGACATGGAAGTGATAGTGTGAGGACGAAATGAATAATAGATTGCATCGAGAAGCACAAGGTGTAGATTAGTGCAAGTTGAACGACAAATCAAATATAAGCCAGTATCACTGCTGAACAGTAAAAAATATGGATTCTATAATGAGCTGACATTGGATAGAAAACCACTGGAAAACCAACAAGGAGAATTGAACAGTTTTTTCTCCCTAGTTTGGGACTCGTCATCAGTACGCATCTAGAGGGTTCAGTCACAGGACCCTTCTGTCACAAGGCGAGCATGTAAACCACTAAGTCACCGGGACAAGGTCCAATGGCAAGTCCATGAATTCCAATTCACGATCTGGTGCAACTACTAGGCAGTATCATCTATGGATAATATCTGTCCCTCACACCTGACCTGCTGTACCCCACTGATCACGACTTCTCACTAGAACTCAGATAAATACCTGCCTGAATAAGGACACTCTCTAGGTGGAAATCAGATTAATATTGAAATTATTGTTTAATCAGTTATATAAGAATAAAACTTGTGCACTGTGGTAGAGTATAATTCCATTCCATCATATCATATCCTTGATATGATTATGATTATGAGCAATAATTTGTGCTCGAAACGTCATCAGTAAACATTACTGCATAACACTGTGAGACTTTATCAAAACAAAAATTTACCCATAATGGAATTTAATTAGTTATCTTATAAAAGAAACACTTTTAGCCTTCTTTATGTTTTATGCCCAATGAGTATTTGTCAGGAGACGTTTATTAATACAGTAAAATACAGATCTTTACAATCTGACATTTTTCTGTATTTTTTTCGAAGTCAAATCAATGCTTTTCGTGTGATCAAACTCTCTGCTTTGGATAGTTAAATTGTGAAGCCTTCATTGTCCTCCCATAGGGGATGTTAAAAGGTTATTTCGACGTAAAGTTACTAAAAACTCGATTAAACATCTGTCTAAAGTGATTACATCTCCTGTTAATCATCTCTTTCAACTATTCTGACTAAAGCCTATCCTGGATCAAGTATGCTATGAAGTTATATAGTTTTCTCTGTGTTATTCCCCTCTGCACGCTTATATGAACATATTCAAGAGATAAACAGACCGGCAGGCGAATCAAGCCAAGAGCCTAGATAGTTGAATTCACTCATCACAAATTAAAAATCATAAAAAGGTTGATTCCAACTTCGCATTAGGGCTGCTCTTGCGATTTAACAAATAACTTCACGTATCTGAATGCTTGTTAACTTCCCCTTTGTTGGAATTAGATAGTTGAAGGCCATCTAATATCAATAATTCTTAGTGCACTGTTATAGCGAGCCACCTATTGGAAGGCTGTCGACACGATACTAGTCACTGACTAGCCTTCAAGCTTAGTATCAATAAAGCAGTACAGGAAGTTAATCGAAAGCCTGAATAGCTCAGTGGTGATAACGTCTACTGACTGCATTATTCAGCGAAAGACGCGGGTTCAAATCTCAGAAAGGAAATGAGTTCCTTCAAAGTTTCAAATACGCCTTGTTGACTGACTGGTGAGTGCCAACTAGCACAAAACAAAAGTCCGGGGATTTTCGCCAACTGTCTCCAACCATCTAATATTGACAATTCAAAATGCACTATGATCTCGAGCCACCTATTTTCATGCTGGCGAACCATTGCAAACATGACTGATAGAATTCAGTCTGTACCAAACGACACTAATTGCTAACTACTGTCCAATCAAAACTTCTCCTTTTTCTGTTATGGCATAATACATAAACAATCTATGCAAAATAGCATGAAATCTGATAATTTCTTATCGTTTAAACATAAAAACATTCTGCTTATTTCTGCTTAATATGACTGTCTATTATGATAAATTTAGTTTATGTTCTGGCTGTCGTATTTTTGCCAATCCTTTGAAGTCTATGGTTTCTATTTTACTTACTGAGGTCATAAATACCAGAGAATTGAGTAATAGACTTACAAATCTCTGAGAACTTTTTCTTTTTGAAGCAGACACAATAGAAGTTATTACCAACAAAAAATAATATTTGAAGTATGTAAAATTTAAATTTAGAAAGTTTATCTTTGATTAAATGACGGACTAAGGGGAAGATAATGAGTAATATAGTTAGTTGTTGAACAGTCAGAGGATGCTGACTTGCACAGATCTTTGTGAAAAATGCATTTAATGGTTGCCAACCAGCGAGAAAATTCACACTGGAAATGGAGAACGAGTCTAGTATTCATTTCCTCGATGTGAACCTATCAAAATGGAGCGATGGAACTATGAAGAGATCAATTTATCGATAGCTGTCATAAAATGGTCAACTGAAAACTTCTACAGCTGGGTACCCATTGGTCGAAAAGGAAACCTAGTCCGGACGCTTGTCCCTCACATTTGATGCACATGTAGCCCTGATACTGTTGAGGAAAATCCTAATGGAAAGTGGATTTCCACCACGTTTTATAGACAGTATTAGACATAAAAATCCTATGAAATGTGACTTGTCATCTGTACCCGAAAAAATACTGTACATGAGCTTGGAATTCAAAAGGGACTTAGCTACCGATATCCTGAAAAGAAGGATATCACAAACCTTGAAAACAATATTCCCTCCTGCATCTTTGAGAATAGCCTTTACCAGTCGACCTTTACTGTTCAATAACCTGAAGGACAAGATCCCGCTGATGACCAATCTATGTGTGTTTGTCAATTCACCTGCTCATGTGGAGCTAGATATATTGGTCGTTTGAGCAGAGTTTTGTCCAAGAGGGTGCAAGAACACTATCCTGTCTGGTTACAAAGAGGTGGAAGTGGAGCAATAAGAAGGGCGATCATCGAAAATATGGTCGATAACGATCACTCTATCGCTACAGCCTCCGCCTTTAAAGTCATCTACAAGGCGAAGAGTAATTTACCCAAATCCCTACGTACCCAACTCGCCTGTATAGCTGAACCTTTAGTCATCGAAATAGAAAAGCTAGATCTCTGTATACAGAAGTTCGTTCAACCCTTACAACTTTCATGATCTTAATCCCTCTAAGTTAAAATATGATAAGATCTAATCATATTTTGGCTTTACCTATTTTTTCATTTCGCCTATTCAATTTGTATACTCTTCATTTATTACGCCAATTGTTACTATTACTATTCTCATCCTGAACTATCCCCAATATTATTTCATTTGTTCCGCTTGTGATTCTAAATCAATTATGTTTTGCAACCTTAAATTCTTTGGTAACAAATTTCACACAACATTCACGCAACATTTTTATTTTTATTCTATTCACCTACTCATCCTATAATTTCACAGCCCTTCCAAGTTCTATGTATCTTTAGAATTGTTCTATATGTGACACCAATTGTTTTGCCACCTGACAATTAACTACGATTATGGTCACAAACGTTTTAGTTTTAATTGCATTTCTTACTATTATTATTATTTTATGCATTCACACCTAAAATTCAGTTCCCTCACCGGATAACTTTTTAAAAAAACCATATATATACGATTGTACAGGTTGATAATAAATTTGTTGAAAAGATTCTCTTCGCTTAGTCACCTGTTTTGGTTTTCTATATGTTACAATGGGAATTTTCCATGAATTAAAACTCAATGTGCCGTTGTCTAACTAAGTTGGATGAACGATCTTTGCAATCTTACCAGCTTTCTTAGGGGTGTTTTTGTGAATGGCCTCCATAATGAGAATCTATTGAACCATATCGACCATACATTTCAAAACTGACAGTTTATAGTTGAACTATGAAGTCTGCATGAAAGATATAAGCGGAGTATTAAAAACGAACGATATAAATGCATAAGTCAATCTTTAGATTTAATTGCAATAAATTTTCAAAAGTTTGTTTTTAGGCTTTCGGTTTACTTCA